GAGGAGGAGAGGGAAGAAAGGCAGAATTAGTCTCTTACTCAGCAGGAGAATAGAACATTCACTGAGTTGCTCAGCCTCTAAAGGCTTTCACCATCAATAGCAGCTGGGGGGATGGATTTATTATTTCTTCTACGTCCATCCTCCCACACTCAGTCACACCCTCAGCTTCCATCACCTAGCAACCTTCAGTAGTACACTTCCCATACATCTCAACACCTCCTGCAGTGTGGGATCATTCCCCCCACCAGGCACACAAGCGCTCTTGCTGCTGTCTGAGAGTGGGCTAAGGAGGGGCTTGAAAAGTAAAATCTACCTTTACCAAAAGAGATCGGCCCATGGGAAAGAGAACTTGGGGCCCCATACTGTCACATGTAAAATGCAACAGCCAAGGGCTGCTCAACTAGCTGACTGATCTCTCAGAAATCTACTCATGGCCCTACAGGCTTCACACTCCTCCCAGCCCTCCAGCTGTCCTGAAACCCTGAGGCAAGGACTCTTGGGGGCTCAGGAGAATGACGTCTCCCTTACATAGCCAAAGTTGCAGTGGAAGTGTCTGGACTTCACAAAAGAGGCATTGCCAGGTGTGGGGATCTGAGCCTGCTGCAATACAGGATGCTCTTTGTAAATGGGAAGCATCAGCACTTAGGATCTTACTCAAAATCTTGACATCAAAGAACAGCAGGGATCCTTGTCTCAAGTCAAGTATGTTCTGGTTGCTGACGGCAATGTCCAGGCAGTCTTCACTGGTGCTTTCATCGAGCATGCCGTTAGGTTCATCTAGCAGATTGGAGTCCTGGAAAAGGAAACAATTTGCTCTTGAGGAAGTCTACAAGAAGTGTCAGAGTAGTAGCTCTGGGAACTCGTTGGGCCGTCCTGGAGGGCTAGCAGGGCACTCCAAGAAGAGCCCTACAGAAGTGCAGGCTTAGATAGGCTCATGAAGATGAAAAGGGCTAGAGAAGAAGGATGGTCCCCCCTCTATTGGCCCTTCTCTATATCTCAATAACAGCTCAGCTCATGCTCTGGCAGCAAAAGCACTATGTGCACTGGGAAGCCATCGATGTAACTGGATGCAGTGGGGACACTGCAGGGACACAATAGAGGCCAGCCTGAGAAATGTGGGCTGGCTTTGGGGACTGCTCTTGTCCGCATGGTCCTGGTATGGTTTCAGTCCATGCACCTCCCCCTATGATGCCTGAGTATGGCCTGGCACAGAGCATGCGTCACAGACTGTTCCCAGTAGGCAGCATAGACCAGGCTGCTCTGTTCAGGGCAAGGAGGAAGAAACTGTTGGTGAAGACATAAGCCAAGCTGTGTATTCATTCCCAGAGCCTGGCCTGCGTTATTAAACGGCATTAATTCTGTCTCTGACACGGTAAAATGGAGCTAGCAGACCTACCCAACCACATGTATGTGGAAGGTTACCAAAGTTTAGGAATCCTTTTGAATTACCTGCTAGAGGACTTAAGATAAAATAAGACCTTCTAGTTGGTCATAAAAACTTGTGCCCTCCAGCACTGCAAACAAAGTGACATACCACTATGGGATGGGCAGACCACTACTGGGATGGCCCACTTGGATCATTCCTGACTGGCTTCCTGCTCAAAAGTGAAAGAAAAGCTGGGATGACCTCCAGGCAAGACAGCATCTCTCCTCCAGCTGTGAGCCAAGACAGATAGCAGTCAGGCCAGGAAGCTGCTTATTTCTCTAATCTCTTCTGAACAGCTGGGGAACAGCCACAGTGGTGCAGACTGTTGTGGGAACTGCTCAAAAGTAACAGCAAAAACCCAGCCATTCACAGCCTCGAAGACAAGATGATGTTTTGGACTGCCTTCTCATGCTGGCTTTCATTTTGGCTGCTCACCATCTTGTCTTCACCAGGATGGTATCTGCAAAGACTCTCAAGCTACTGGGAGGCCCAATACCCCCAGAAGTCAAAGGGAACTGGAGGGGATTTACAAAGGTATTTTGCAACTCAGGAAGGATTTTCAGAAATTCCTTGCCAGGCTCTGAGGAGGACTCTGGGACAGCCCTGGAGGTCTGGAAGCACCGAGTGGTCCCGTCCCCATGGTGAATCCTGAGCTTAAACACTGAACACTGAAGGGCCAGGCACCAAAAGTCCTTTCTCTTCTGCTTGAGAAGGAGGCTGAGCTTGTTGCCTGTCCTCTGCCCCATCAGCCACAAGGTGGCTGGCTATACTCACCAACGACTCCTGATCGCTGCTGTCCTCTTCAAAACTGTCCAAGCAGAAAATATCGTTATCTGCCAAGGTAGGAAAGACTCGTCATATTTCAGATGCACCTGTGGCTCTGTTGACCCTCGCAGTTAGTGCTGGGTGCAAGGGTCTGACAGCCCCTGCAATCTGCATCACTAGCCACGCTGAGAGGTGACTCTGGATGGCCAGCAATGAGGATGGGGAGCGGGGAGGACCCTGCCCTTGGTGCCCACTTGGAAAAGGATTGATCTCCAAGTCATAGATACACAGTATACGCTGGGTGAGATCTTTGAATGAAGCCTGGTTCCCTAGCAATCACTGCTGAACATCTTGCCACTCAAGATGATAGGCTAGGACATAACTATCCTCTTGTGAAATTTACCTATGGGGATGCTGCTCTCCGCCCTGCTTTGATGCTTTCCCCTGAAAAATCTACCCATGGCTTCATTGCTTTAGAAATGAAGAGCGGGAAAGCATTGTCAAAGGTAAACAAAGCAGCAGTGGGCTGCTTACCTGAATCATGCAGCCCACTGTTGCTATTTTCCACATCTTCCAATAAGCCATCTTTTTTGGTGGTATGAGCCACAGCAGACACCGGATAGCTGGTTCCAGGCTGATCGAAGGAGCTTTGTTTCTGCAAGACTTCCAATTTCATCCATTCAATGTCGTTGTCTTCAACCTTCATCACCTTCACTGGCGATGGCAGGACATCTGCGTTTTGAACATTCCTCCTCTTCAGAGGAGTGGATGCAGAGATGACCTAACCATGTAAAGCAGAGCCAGTGAGAGCAGCTCTGCATGGTCTGCCTAGGTATGAGCTTTGAGTGTGCTTACAGCAGTGGTGGGAGGGGACTGGGACCCCCTGGCCTGGCTGAGGTGGTCTCCACCACAAGTCTCTCCGTAGTCAGGTAACAAGCCCAAATGAGGTAGGATGCTGCATTTGGGCATTTTACTTGGGTAAGCAAACAGCTCCAATTTCTGGGCACTGCTCCATCATGCCCAATATACCAATCTGGGAATGGGATGGGACCCAGGTGGGGACTAAGAGAGGACACAGGGCAAGGAACAGAGAGGTGTGATTGAGGAGTGGGGGATGCCAGGGTGGGAGACTGGCATTTAGAGATGTGTGTAGGCTTGAGAGGGGGCTTGAGGAAGAGGTGACATGGGACAGAGCACAGGATTCCTATTTTGGGGAGATGGAGGGCATGCAATGGTAGGGAGGGGAGGGGAGAGGCACGAGTTGGAGATGGAGAGCTGGCTGGACAAAGCCGAAGTTTGTTTTTCCTAGAACAACTTAGTGCTGTCAGTGCCCCAGAGTATTTTGGTAGTTCTCCAGCTGGTTTCCCACACTGGTTTGCACTCTGCCCAAAGCAAAGTGCTGTTTACCCACATGGTCTCTTCTACTCTAGGGTCACCAAACACCACTTCCTTCTTTCCGGTATGAAGCCTCACCTGGCCCTGTCTCTCACAGGCTGTGGTGACTCCAGCCATGCTGGGCAAGGCACCCTTCCTGCCTGACACTGGCCAGGAACTTTCCATGTTGCCAAACAGCCCCAAAGAAGAAAGGTGCCTTTCTGTGTGAATCTGCTGTGAATCTCCCCTCCCTGAGCTCAGAGAATAAATCACTTTTATCTTGTCATTTAAGCAGTTTGCTCTCTTTGTATTGCTTGCAGACAGGGTTAGGCCCATCCTCTGGTCCAAGCTTGCTCCCCAACTGGGGTGGCTAAGGACAAACTGCATGAGCTCTGCCCAGGGGCAGTCTGGTGGGCCCCAGCCCTGCTCCTGCCATCCAGAGACATCAGGCCCAGGCTGCCTGCCTGGCTAACGTGCAGTCATTTTGTCTTTCCTCCAGCCTGTGACTGGATCTTCCTGGATTACCAGTTGTATGTTTGACTAATGTCTGAGCCCCTCCAGAAGATACAAGAGGAGAGCAGACACATCCTTCTGTCACGGCTCAGAAGAAAGTTTTATCCCGGGCAAAGGCAGGCAGCCCTAATGCTAGTCACAAGTCCTTCAGGCACCATAGGAAAAGAGAAGGGAGCTTGCCTTGGACATCTTAGATCCTAGGTCACTTCTGCTTGGAGTAGTCCTCTGCCCTTCTGGAGTGCAAAGATTTGGTTGGAGACACCAGTCACATCAGAGCCAGCTGCAGTGTCTCTCCCACTAGCCCTGACTGCAGATGTATAAAGGCCCCTGCTTTTTGTTCAGCACAGGGCACAGTGCAGTTTGAAAAGCCGAGGCAGGAAACAATTTGCATGCCAATGTGCCCGTGATGTCATTAAAGTACATGTGGTGGCATGTCTCATGTTGTGAGGTTTGTCTGCACCTTAGCCAGAAAGGTACCTTCAAGGGACAAAGTTTGCCATGGCAGTATGGGCCCTGGAACTGGTTCTGCAGCCTTACTCCTAGAGACAGCCCAGCTCAAGGGATGGGGGTGCACTATCTAGGCAACTGAACCTGGGATCTCACCTGGAGCTCAGATGACCCCTTTCAAAACAAGACACACGAGGAGGAATCTGGAAAGCAGCAACCAAACACACCCCCCCCC